TCGTAAGCGTGGTTGCAAACAATGGGACAAAATAAACAAACTCACTTAATCAATGTGGTTGTTTATAATTACTTTTTATCTATTTATATTTGACATTATAATTTGTTTGATTTTAGATAATTTGAAAATGGGATTGCTCATTTGACTCATATGCAGATGAAGGTGACACCAAATTGTTCATGTGGCACTGGTCCAATGTTGGTGATTATGGCTCGCACCCAAGCATTATGGTCGTCATTTTTTTCGTTGTCCTAATTGGCATAATCATAGGGGCTTGTTCTTGTGGGTAGACGACTATGATGGTGGGGTATAGAATGTCAGACCTGCCCAAGTGCCTTGTATTGGCGGGAAGTGATTGTTTTGGGCTTCTTGAGGATGCAATGCATTTCTTTACTTTACTATTATCATCCTTGTATTGGTACTTTTCATTATGGTTGTACTTAGGTAAGACGATCGTAAGCGTGGTTGCAAACAATGGTTGTACATGAATGTCTATTGTGTTAGTTTATTGTATGGGTACCTTTTATCTACTAGTTTTTTTTTTTTCCCCCGATAAACCGTGTGTTACTTGTTTTATGGGTTAGTATTATATTTGGGAAAATATGTTAATTACATATAAAATATGCTTACAATATATATGAAAATTATTTACAAAAAGGAAAAAACAATTACGTATATAAATGGAAAAACCTTTTTTTTTATTTTTCCAGATTTATATTTTAAATTTGGGGGGGGGACCAATATCGTACGAATATGTTAACATATTTGGAAAAATATGTTAATTACATAAAATATGGCAATAAATCATTTGGAAAAATCTGTTAATTACATATAAAAGATGAAAATGATGTATTAAAAATGAAAAAAATCCAACTATGTATACAAATGGCAAAATCCAATTACGTAATAATTTTTTTTTTTTTGGCATTTTTGAAGGTTTTTTTTATTTTTGTACAAAAATCAAACCAAATAGATTTCTGAGATTTTTTTTGAAAATGTGTTTGCAAACATGTTTCAAAACTTATACTGGAAAAAGTCAAACCAAACACATTTCTAAGAGTTTTTTTTTGGAAAATCTGTTTGGTTTGATTACTCTAAAAAATGTGTTTGTAGAGCATATTTCACAAATCTTTCTCTCAAATCCAAATCAAATAAGGTCGTAATTTTTCATACAAATTTTTGAAAAAATAAATTTGAAAAAAGAATGATTGTAAAAAAACGAGGCCATTGGATTTTCAACTTCTAACTTAAAAGAAAAAAAAAAACTTGCACTATACATATCTTTTTCTTTGGCCTATATCCTTGTCTTTATGGTTTGAGCAGGCTAAAATGAAGAAAATCCAGCTCACCTCAAATAGGCCTTGCAATAAAACAAATAGTTACATCCGAGTGAGTGAGGTTATTTCTTTATTTTATTTTCGATAAGAGAGGGAATAGGGTAAGACTCAAACCGATTTTTCACACCTGTAAGGGAGGTTATTGTTTTCCCCTCAAAGTCAGAAATATTTTATTTTCATTTCCTTGTATTTCTCCGCAAACAAGCACGTGTTTAATGATCTTGTATTTTTTTCAACAACAATGATTCATCCCCCTTTTCCCTCCACCCCCTTTGACCCCCTCTCTCTCTCATTGGTTACTTTTTCTTTTTCTTTTTTTTCCTGCTCCTCCAATCACCACCTGCCACGTGGCAAAGGGGGGTGAGGGGGTGACCCCCAAAAGGGGGTCCCAAGCATTATTCTTTTTTCAATTTTCTTGTGTTGATCTTTGTACAATGTTGGCTTTGGTAAGGTGGACACATAAACCCTGCTGTTACATTTGGCCTATTTCTAGCAAGGAAATTGACCCTAACTAGGGCAATTTACTTCATTGTGATGCAATGCCTTGGTGCAATCTGCTGCCTGTGTTGTTAAGGGCTTCCAAAAATCACAGTATGAGACATTGGGTGGTGGTGCCAACATTGTGAACCCTGGGTACTGTGAGAATATATTGTGTATTTTCTATTATTGTCCTATTAGAGGTATGATTGTGTTAGAGTCCTATTAGAGGCATAATTGTATTCTCCCTTTTGGTTTAGGATTTAGGCCTATATAATCTAAGGTCTGATTGTAATCATTCACACATTGAATATATGAGAAACAGAAAAGCTTTCAGGAATCTTACATGGTATCAGAGCCACCACCAGAACCCTAGAAATTGTCTTCCTCTTCAGTCTCTGTGTGAGTTGTGGGTCATCTTCTCCCTTGATCAAATCTGGTTCTCTCTTCTCCTTTGATTGATCGAAGTTCCCTTGACCTTGGCGAGAACCAGATCACCGGTTTAAGTGGGTGAAGTAGGTGGAGAGTATGTGGATTTAGTGGGTTAGGTTTAGTGGAGTAGGTTTAAGTGGGTGAAGTAGGTGGAGAGTATGTGGATTTAGTGGGTTAGGTTTAGTGGAGTAGGTTTAAGTGGGTGAAGTAGGTGGAGAGTATGTGGATTTAGTGGGTTAGGTTTAGTGGAGTAGGTTTAAGTGGGTGAAGTAGATGATAGGTTTTAACAGCCTTGTATTGGCGGGAAGTGATTGTTTTGGGCTTCTTGTGGATGCAATGCATTTCTTTACTTTACTATTATCATCCTTGTAGTGGTACTTTTCATTATGGTTGTACTTAGGTAAGACGATCGTAAGCGTAGTTGCAAACAATGGTTGTACATGAATGTCTACTGTGTTAGTTTATTGTATGGGTACCTTTTATCTACTAGTTTTTTTTTTCCCCCTGATAAATCGTGTGTTACTTGTTTTATGGGTTAGTATTATATTTGGGAAAATATGTTAATTACATATAAAATATGCTTACAATATATATGAAAATTATTTACAAAAAGGAAAAAACAATTACGTATATAAATGGAAAAACCTTTTTTTTCATTTTTCCAGATTTATATTTTAAATTTGGGGGGGGGGACCAATATCGAACGAATATGTTAACATATTTGGAAAAATATGTTAATTACGTAAAATATGGCAATAAATCATTTGGAAAAATATGTTAATTACATATAAAAGATGAAAATGATGTATTAAAAATGAAAAAAATCCAACTATGTATACAGATGGCAAAATCCAATTACGTAATAAATTTTTTTTTTGGCATTTTTGAAGTTTTTTTTTTTTTAATTCGGGCTTTTTTTTTTTATTTTTGTACAAAAATCAAACCAAATAGATTTCTGAGATTTTTTTTGAAAATGTGTTTGCAAACATGTTTCAAAACTTATCCTGGAAAAAGCCAAACCAAACACATTTCTAAGAGTTTTTTTTTGGAAAATCTGTTTGGTTTGATTACTCTAAAAAATGTGTTTGTAGAGCATATTTCACAAAACTTTCTCTCAAATCCAAACCAAAACCAAATAAGGCCGTAATTTTTCATACAAATTTTAGGAAAAATAAATTTAAAAAAAGAATGATTGTAAAAAAGCGAGGCCATTGGATTTTCAACTTCTAACTTAAAAGAAAAAAAAAAACTTGCACTATACATCTTTTTCTTTGGCCTATATCCTTGCCTTTATGGTTTGAACAGGCTAAAATGAAGAAAATCCAGCTCACCTCAAATAGGCCTTGCAATAAAACAAATAGTTACATCCGAGTGAGTGAGGTTATTTCTTTATTTTATTTTCGATAAGAGAGGGAATAGGGTAAGACTCAAACCGATTTTTCACACCTGTAAGGGAGGTTATTGTTTTCCCCTCAAAGTCAGAAATATTTTATTTTCATTTCCTTGTATTTCTCCACAAACAAGCACGTGTTTAATGATCTTGTATTTTTTTCATTTTTCTTGTGTTGATCTTTGTACAATGTTGGCTTTGGTAAGGTGGACACGTAAACCCTGCTGTTACATTTGGCCTATTTCTAGCAAGGAAGTTCTCTCTGTCTCTCTCTCTCTCTCTCTCTCTCTCTCAGTGTAAGACAAGTCTCAAGTTAAATGATCAAAGTTTACTTATATTCAAACACATTTGAACATAATGTATACAAACAAATGAAGATAAAAAGGTAAGGAGTGAGGTTCCAGCTGCCACAGTCTCTTTGGGAGGAAAATTCTCTCCAAAACTTGATTTCATGTTAACTACTTAAAAGACCTAAATCTCATTTGGATGTATAATGTCCGACAAATTAGATATTTTAATTAAGTAATTAATTTGCACTAGTTGTCCTTGTATCTCACTAATCATTGTTAATTGGCACTAATACATGAATTAATCTAGCATACTCATTAATTACATTTTTTTTCATATTAAATTGAAATAAATTGCATGAACTAATTGATTGGACTTGGTAGGCCTACTTTAAATTTAGACACCCTTGAATGAATTGGACTTTGGAGACTAAGCCCATGAGTTAGTAGAGTGTATTTTGGACTATTCTTGACCTATGGGTATATATTTAATCAAATAGCCATGACCCACCCAATTGAGGTTTGGGTCTTTTAACTAGTCAATACGGAATCAAGTTTTAGGGGGATTTTTCTCTCCAAAAGAGCCCAAAGGCAGCCGGCATGTCCCCCTCTCCTATTGTCTTCATTTTATATATGTATTTCACTTGGTCAACATGTTTGACTTCTTGGTAGATTAACCATTCTGTTATGAGTAATGCTAGAATGACCATTTGTTTCTATCATGTGTGTCAATCTAGTTGTCACCATTATCTTGGAGACATACATTACTGGTTGGACCCATTGTAACATAATATGGTATAAATTATGGTGAAGTGTAGCATTATTGTTCTTTTTTTTTGGTTTTCAATGAAAGAGCTCAAGCTCTAGCATCCTCACACAATTACCCATCACCCCCTCTTCCTCCTTCAACATTCTTGAAGGTTTTGAAGGAGTTTTTGGTGTTCACAGTAAAAAATAAAAATATTTTTTTCTTAAAATCTTGACTCCATTAAGCATCCATGTTAATAATATAAGAAAAATAAGTAAAAAAATTGAGCATGTAAATTTGCCAAGAACCTTATCCGGTGTAAGGTAACAATGCCGATCAGAATTGAATGGTCCACTTTTGTTAAAAACAATGGGGAATTCTGTATGATTACGTTGAAACTATGCATTGATGAGTTTGAAGGAAAAAAAGGTTTCTTAAACCTAGTATGCTTCTATGTCACTAAGACTTTTTGTTTTAAGATCTTTGTTTGTTTGTCCAAAAACTACAGATTTTGGCTCCTCTCCCTATTGGGTTTGCAGTGTTTTTGGTTATCTTGGCAACAATCCCTACTGCTGGAACTGGCATCAGCCCTGCCCGGAGCCTCGGTGCTGCTATCATATACAACAAGGATCATGCATGGGATGACCAGGTGAGTTTTTAGGTTATACAATTATCTAATCTTTTGAACAACACTATGGGTCACCACCCGTGTTAATGTCTTACTCTGCTTGTTTGGTAACACTTCTGTTTTCGTTTTGTTTTTCTTTTTTCATAACCTTTTTTGGAAACTGGAGATCTTTTTTTTTTGGAAATTAGAAATGAAAACTTGTTTGGTATACTGTTTTTGTTTTAAAAAAGTGAAATTGATTCCGAATTCACTTGTTCTCGCAACAAGTTCTTTTTCTCTCCTTGCTTTTCTCATTTGCAAATTGTTTCTGCTTTTAAATTCTCATTTCTATGACACATTACTTTTCTTTTCTTTTTTGTGTGTAATTTTTCAGTGGATTTTCTGGGTTGGACCCTTCATTGGAGCTGCACTAGCCGCGTTGTACTATCAGATAGTCATCAGAGCCATCCCATTCAAGAGCAGAGCCTGAGAAGTCATTTTCTTCTTTCATTTTGTATTTTCTATTTGTTAATTTTATTTTTTATTTTTTAAATCTCTAGTTGTGTTTTCATTCTTTACCCATGTTGTTGTTGAGGTTGCTTCTTGTGTATAAATGACTGGTTTTAATTTTCTTCCTTTTTAAATTGTAAGATTGTTCCTTTGCTGTGGCTTATTTGTCCTTTTTGCACCATGAAAGCTTTGCAGGATATAGGGCTAGCCATTTCAACTTTTAGAACCTTGATAACTGTTAGAATTTACCTACACCTACCACCACCTACTACCACACCTACTACACCTACCACCAATTTACCCTCACCTACTCCTCACCTACTACCCAAACCCTCTCCTATATAATGAGCCACTCTAATTTGTAATATAAGATATCAAGATATATCAATCAATAATACATAAATTCTTACATGTTTCAAAACTTATCCTGGAAAAAGCCAAACCAAACACATTTCTAAGAGTTTTTTTTTGGAAAATCTGTTTGGTTTGATTACTCTAAAAAATGTGTTTGTAGAGCATATTTCACAAAACTTTCTCTCAAATCCAAACCAAAACCAAATAAGGCCGTAATTTTTCATACAAATTTTAGGAAAAATAAATTTAAAAAAAGAATGATTGTAAAAAAGCGAGGCCATTGGATTTTCAACTTCTAACTTAAAAGGAAAAAAAAAAAACTTGCACCATACATATCTTTTTATTTGGCCTATATCCTTGCCTTTATGGTTTGAACAGGCTAAAATGAAGAAAATCCAGCTCACCTCAAATAGGCCTTGCAATAAAACAAATAGTTATATCAGAGTGGGTGAGCTTATTTCTTTATTTTATTTTCAATAAGAGAGGGAATAGGGAAAGGCAAAATTGCACCGTGTTGTAGTAAGACTCAAACCGATTTTTCACACCTGTAAGGGAGGTTATTGTTTTCCCCTCAAAGTCAGAAATATTTTATTTTCATTTCCTTGTATTTCTCCACAAACAAGCACGTGTTTAATGATCTTGTATTTTTTTCATTTTTCTTGTGTTGATCTTTGTACAATGTTGGCTTTGGTAAGGTGGACACATAAACCCTGCTGTTACATTTGGCCTATTTCTAGCAAGGAAGTTCTCTCTCTCTCTCTCTCTCTCTCTCTCTCTCTCTCTCTGTAAGACAAGTCTCAAGTTAAATGATCAAAGTTTACTTATATTCAAACACATTTGAACATAATGTATACAAACAAATGAAGATAAAAAGGTAAGGAGTGAGGTTCCAGCTGCCACAGTCTCTTTGGGAGGAAAATTCTCTCCAAAACTTGATTTCATGTTAACTACTTAAAAGACCTAAATCTCATTTGGATGTATAATGTCCGACAAATTAGATATTTTAATTAAGTAATTAATTTGCACTAGTTGTCCTTGTATCTCACTAATCATTGTTAATTGGCACTAATACATGAATTAATCTAGCATACTCATTAATTACATTTATTTTCATATTAAATTGAAATAAATTGCATGAACTAATTGATTGGACTTGGTAGGCCTACTTTAAATTTAGACACCCTTGAATGAATTGGACTTTGGAGACTAAGCCCATGAGTTAGTAGAGTGTATTTTGGACTATTCTTGACCTATGGGTATATATTTAATCAAATAGCCATGACCCACCCAATTGAGGTTTGGGTCTTTTAACTAGTCAATACGGAATCAAGTTTTAGGGGGATTTTTCTCTCCAAAAGAGCCCAAAGGCAGCCGGCATGTCCCCCTCTCCTATTGTCTTCATTTTATATATGTATTTCACTTGGTCAACATGTTTGACTTCTTGGTAGATTAACCATTCTGTTATGAGTAATGCTAGAATGACCATTTGTTTCTATCATGTGTGTCAATCTAGTTGTCACCATTATCTTGGAGACATACATTACTGGTTGGACCCATTGTAACATAATATGGTATAAATTATGGTGAAGTGTAGCATTATTGTTCTTTTTTTTTGGTTTTCAATGAAAGAGCTCAAGCTCTAGCATCCTCACACAATTACCCATCACCCCCTCTTCCTCCTTCAACATTCTTGAAGGTTTTGAAGGAGTTTTTGGTGTTCACAGTAAAAAATAAAAATATTTTTTTCTTAAAATCTTGACTCCATTAAGCATCCATGTTAATAATATAAGAAAAATAAGTAAAAAAATTGAGCATGTAAATTTGCCAAGAACCTTATCCGGTGTAAGGTAACAATGCCGATCAGAATTGAATGGTCCACTTTTGTTAAAAACAATGGGGAATTCTGTATGATTACGTTGAAACTATGCATTGATGAGTTTGAAGGAAAAAAAGGTTTCTTAAACCTAGTATGCTTCTATGTCACTAAGACTTTTTGTTTTAAGATCTTTGTTTGTTTGTCCAAAAACTACAGATTTTGGCTCCTCTCCCTATTGGGTTTGCAGTGTTTTTGGTTATCTTGGCAACAATCCCTACTGCTGGAACTGGCATCAGCCCTGCCCGGAGCCTCGGTGCTGCTATCATATACAACAAGGATCATGCATGGGATGACCAGGTGAGTTTTTAGGTTATACAATTATCTAATCTTTTGAACAACACTATGGGTCACCACCCGTGTTAATGTCTTACTCTGCTTGTTTGGTAACACTTCTGTTTTCGTTTTGTTTTTCTTTTTTCATAACCTTTTTTGGAAACTGGAGATCTTTTTTTTTTGGAAATTAGAAATGAAAACTTGTTTGGTATACTGTTTTTGTTTTAAAAAAGTGAAATTGATTCCGAATTCACTTGTTCTCGCAACAAGTTCTTTTTCTCTCCTTGCTTTTCTCATTTGCAAATTGTTTCTGCTTTTAAATTCTCATTTCTATGACACATTACTTTTCTTTTCTTTTTTGTGTGTAATTTTTCAGTGGATTTTCTGGGTTGGACCCTTCATTGGAGCTGCACTAGCCGCGTTGTACTATCAGATAGTCATCAGAGCCATCCCATTCAAGAGCGGAGCCTGAAAAGTCATTTTCTTCTTTCATTTTCTATTTTCTATTTGTTATTTTTATTTTTTAAATCTCTAGTTGTGTTTTCATTCTCTAGCCATTTCAACTTTTAGAACCTTGATAACATTGCTGAAGATGACCATTAGACCCTTTTTTCTTGTTTTAAAAAAAAAGGGAGGGGGTCAACCATCCCTAGAAATACTACTAGGCCATGATGACCAAAGAGGAGCACCTATCCATTGCGGACCCTACAAAGCAAGGCAACCATAGACGCTTCTTCAAGACGGACTTGAGTCATAGTTTGATTCCAGTCTTACCAGGATCCTAGCAAGCAAAAATCAAGAACAAATGTGGATGAGGATTGCCTTGCCCTCACGGAGCCACTTACTCACCAAACCGAGTTGGATTGAGTTCCCACTCCCACTCCCACGGTTATCTCCCTTGGTGGTTGACAATTAAACCCTTACTGTAATTTGATGGTTTCTGGGCTTCTGTTGCCTGCTTAAACAATTAGGCAGATTTTGGTTTCGTATAGTAACATCGGAGATCTAAATTAGTTTTGGTAGCTGTCATGTTGGTAAAGAATCAAAACCCTAAGTTCTGAGATTGTGATTTGTGATTATGTCTAATTCCAATTACAAGCGTATGGATGGCAACACAACAACAATACTCAACAAGCTAAGAGTAATCTTAATCAATTCACACAAGGAAAAAAATCAATTTAGATCTAAGCTTAGCAATCAATAATCTGGACATAAATGATTTTAACGTGAAAAAAAATTCCTAGATGGAATACTTCAATTGTGATTATCAAAAAACTACGAGCCAAGAGGCTAAAGCAAATCCACTATGAGAAATAAAAAAGATTACAATAAGTCGTCTCACCAAATCTATCTCCTAGTGAATCCATGTTCGATTGACATTGAAACACTTATGAATCTTCATAGCCCATCCTTTACTTGAATTTGCCCCATCCTTGGTATTGAATCCACGACCACAAACTATGTCGAAAATCCACAGGAAGAATGTTTGAGAAGAAGTATCATTGAAACCCCCTTGATTAGCTCAATCAATAGCAAGAGATATATGAAAATATCTATGAATTATCCAGCAGAAATAAGGAATTCACTCATAGTTCTCTCACTCTGTTTTCTACACTTTTCGAGTAATTTTCCTATCTGCTAGGAATTCCACGTTGGTGATGTGTCCAACCAATAAGAAGGCACTAAATGAATACATGACCTAATAACAAGGAGAATGTAGATAAAATATAGCATTTCATTGGTTGAGCAGTAGATAATTTTCTTGACCTACTAGATAATTTTTGGCACTAACTAGAAGAATTAAATTCAGATATAAGGGAATAAAGCGTTGTAGCAAAATCTATTCAAAGTGACTGCTCAAGTGGTAAATCAAGGCTTGCAGCATTTCGAGATCTCAAACAAAAGATCCTGTGAAGTCCCAATTTCCACTCAAGCACAACTTTGGTCACTCGAGTGGTGAATTCACCATTGCAGTATTTATGAGAATTAGGCTGAGATCCTAAGACCTTACAAAGTTCGCTCGAGCGGTCAATATACACTTGAAGCCTTTCTAAAGCACAAACTAGACACTTACTGAGAACTAAATTATGTGGAAGATCAACCAAGATATGATTTGCTTTCTAAGCTCTAAAATACTTCACAACAATACAATGGCAAAGAAAGAATACAACTCATATGTGTTTGTCACTTGGGATTGCCAAAATAAAGGACCTAATAAAGGAGATCAAAGAGAATTGGAACAGCAAGCAAAACCTTATGTACATTAATTACACACACAATTCTCTTTAAAAGAGCTATTGCATATTCACCCCATCATTTTTTAAGCACAAATTTCATTCACTTTTTTATTAATAGGGTTTATACTTTTTTTTATGAAATATCACATCTATTTGTAAGTTTGATTGTTGAAGGCATTTTTTGACACATCCAGCTTGTTCATTCAAAAAAACAATCATGAGGTGCTTTAGCTGTTGCATGGAAGATGAAATGCACAAGGTCGCTGATAATGGACCATTCATGACAAATACATAAGGTAAATTGTTTGTGCTGAGGTTGTAGTATTTAGAGAGTTGCAATGTTTGCTCTTTCATTATTTGAAATGGTAACTGAGGTCTTTCATCTTTGTTGGACTAATGTGGCAGGACATATTAATTTATTTATTGCAATTTGGATTTCGAAGTATGTATTCCATGCTTCTTGCATGAAATCAGACAGATTAAACTAAAT